TAACCAGGCTTTTGAACTAAAATTTCAAAACCATAATGCCATTTATCAAAAAGCACACCCATTTCACTGAACTATGAACACTATTCCCCTGTTTTGACACATTAGTCAGATTTGTTGAACTGTCACAGCAAAACTCTACACACAAATCCCTTCATTTCTCATTGCCTACACCACATGGTCATTTAGAAAGCACTAGCATTCAAAATTGTTCACTCAAGTCAGCACAGCTTCAGCTCAGTTAGCACACAATTACCCAGGTGAAAACACTAAGAGTCAAAATTGAACACACATCAGTCAGATCCTTCAATAGATAAAAGCTTATACAATCTTTTATTAAAGATAAAAATTAGTTTACTGAGTTTTGGAACAATGGATCCACAGAGAAATTAAGCAATAGGTCGAGGAGGATGAGGAGGAGGATGAGGAGGAGGAAGAGGAGGAGGAGGAGGGAGAGGAAGAGGAGGAGGAACAGGAGGAGTTAGAGGAAGAGGAGGAGGAATAGGAAGAGGAGGAGGAAGAGGAGGAGGAGGAGAAGAAGAAGGAGGAGGAGGAGGAAGGGCAAGGGCAAGAAGACAAGCAGTCTCGGATGAAATTCAAGCCACTTTAGTTGGCCATGTCCTTGTCCATGGTATGACTATATAAGGGAGGCTGGGCAACGAGTACAGCCAAATTTGAGTCGCTTCACCGTCGCCTCCATCATCAGAACCTTCAGGGAGGTGTGGTGGCAAACACATTTCTATCACTGAATAAGAGACAAACATTTCCAATTGTCTTTGATGAGGTTTATGTTCTTGCAAGAAAAGGCCAGCAGTCGTACAGTCACACAGAGTGGCTGCAGAGTGTGACAGTGAAGGGAGGGCATCCTTTCTCCTTTATAGTCTTGACTCCCAGAATGTTATCTTTCTAGGCCAATGATGGTATTTCAACCATATGTGGAACATTCTTAGACTTGTTCATCATATTGTATCCTTGAGTGGAGGCATGTACCAACACTCTTTACCATTCCAATACAATTCCATATTTGAATAAGGTTTGTGTGTGCTCTTTTACTGTCATTTGATGCTCACACACATCTTACGTAAGAGTAGGAGAGAGTAAAAAAGCAAGCAACATGACTTACCAGTTTTGGAAATGTTGTTTTGAATTTATAGCACCAGTGTGTAAGACTATGTTGTAGTGTGTGTATTTTTGAGGGCTTGTGTGTCCTGTCTGAGGGCAACGTTTGGTTTTTCAGCAAGAGTGAATGGTTTTGAGTGTAGAGCTTCATTTTGACCTGAAAATAGGATGTTTGGGGAATTGGGTGAGACGTTATGGGTTTGTGTTTACTGTTTTGAGAATACGAGGCATAGTTTCAAGAAATGTGTTTAAGCAATCGAGAAAAACTGTAATTAGAGCTTTTTCCTGCGTCTTTGCAACAAAGAAAGGCTTGCTTTTTTCCCGCAGTGAAGTACGCTTTTTAATAAAATGAGGAACTGCTGTGTTGACAACCAGATGAGATTTTTAGTTATTATTCTGTAGGTTTAATTTGAGTTTTGCGGTTCTCTGAGTGTTCAAAATTTCAGACACCTGCCTTTGGGTGACTGCAGAGAGAGAGAAAGAGGAAGTGGGGCCTGCAGCTATCCTCCTGAAAGAGGAAGTGGACACCTCTGAGGGGTCAATTCAAGACAGTTCACTAAATGTGACAATTCACTTGAGACTTTTCCTTAAGACAATTTTGCCATACATTATGGAATTTTGTGCCAGGGTGGATCAAAAGCCAGACCGAGAGTGCCATCACAGCCTGATGATCAAACGTATCAGCCCAACAAAGTCAACTGAACGACAATCCACACAGAAAAGAAAGACTTCCATCCCCTCACTTGTGGGCCAGGTGCTGCATTTTCAATGATCACTACAGAGAACGTTTCAAATTTAGTTAATTATCATATTAACTTGATTATTGTTTTTGATTATCCACTGGTTTCAGCAATTCTTCATATTTCTTCAACTAACTCTTTGAATCTGCTTTCAATAGGACCAGTCCAGCAGCCCTACTACAGGAAGTTCAATAGCAGAAGTTGGAGATTGACTCACCAATCAGTTAAAACACTGGGGATGGATTTGGAAGGGTTAGTAGACTCGACCGACGTCGACGAGTAGACGCCCCAGAGTATAAGTAGTATTATTGGTAGGTAGTTAGGTTTAGGGAAAAAATCTACGACACTTGTTTCCTGTGTGGTACTTTGAGGCTGAGGCCTGCAATTCGAACCAGGGTTCTTGCTTGGGACCTGGCTGTTGTTTTAGAAGGCTTATCTGTGGCTTCATTCGAGCCCCTTGATACGGTTTCAGAAAAGTTTCTGACATTAAAAACAGTTTTCCTTCTAGCTATTTCTTCTCTTAAAAGAGTTGGAGATCTTCAGGCCTTATCGGTATCCCCCACTTGCCTTGACTTCGGGATGGTCAAGACATTTCTTTACCCTAAACCGGACTATGCCCCTAAGGTGCCGACCAGTATACCATGTCCTACTTTCAGAGATCAGGACCAGTAAAAGCTGAACCTTCTCTGTCCAGTAAGAGTGCTGGATACATATATCCACAGAGCTGCCCTTATGGAGGAATTCGGATCAGCTGTTTGTCTGTTTTGGATCACTTAAGAAAGGTATTCCTGCTTTCTAAGCAGACAGTCAGCAAGTGGATAGTCGAGGCTATCTCTCTTGCTTACGAGGTCACTGGTCACCTTTGGCTGTTCTACCAGGATTATGGCGGCCTCCAAGCCCTTAATTTCGGGTGTATCCCTTCAAGAGGTTTGTGATGGGCAGGTTCTCAGGTGCTTATGTCTTAGTTGTGCCACAGTTTCACACAGACAGGCACTTGTAAGTACAGCGTTTGGGTATTCTCGTTCCCAAACTGTCATCAACGCAGCACGAGTTCCCTCGAAAGGGAACGTTTCAGGTTACGACTGTAACCCTAGTTCCCTAATAAGGGAACGAGACGCTACGTCGCCCTGCCATACTTACTTCATCCCTGTGATAGACTTGCTTCGGCTAATGGAAGCTAACACCTGTCATCCCTGATGTGCTTTAATCCTTTCCTGGTCGTGACGTCACCCGCCCGTGACGTTCCCTCTCTCCCTCTTGGATTAGTGGACATACGTACTTCAGACGCAATCACGCGGAGTTTCCCTTCTCAGAGAACTAGGGTCACAGTTGTAACCTGAAAATGTGTGCTACTATAGGGTTACTATGGGTTAATTTGGGTTAACCATGGTTTTTGTAGTAAAACTATGGTTATACAAATGGTAATCAATCCGCCAAAAACATGGTTACTACACTTTTACTATAATAAAACCATGGTTAATTTCCGTAAGGGCTGGTTACTGGTAAATGCATGTAACGTTAATTCCAATATCTCTCCCCTCCTCTTTCCTGGTGCTATCATTTCCCTTTAGTCTGGTTTTTTTTCATCACTCCCCCTATTCATATCTGTTACATTTCTGTGAATTTTGTCTCTCTCTCAATCATGGCTCTCAAACCACTTTGCTCATTATTGCATTTGGCGCATTGATGACTTTGTTCACCAATTTGTATTGAGTCCCATCCATTTCCTCACTCTCTCCTCAGTCTCATTCTCTCTCCCCCTTTTCACTTTGTACCTTCCCTTCATCTCAAGATCCTGTTTCAAGACAATCAAATCAGCGTGAGACATCTAACACTTAACATTATTCTTGACTGATAGACATCTTCATAAACTCCAGCAGTGCTTGAGCGTAGCCCCACTCTGCTGCCTCTCATTCGATTTGGTCTTCTGTCATGCGTTACTTCTTCATTGTGTGTGTTTTTGTGGGGAAGCAAGTCCCAGATGTATTGAACTCATATAGAGAAGAAAACCACAGGTTAATGTTTCCACTTTTGGCCCTGTCAAGAAATGTTGCCTCTTAGTTGTGGTTAAACTGTGTATGTGGTAATGCTGACATTTTTCCATTTGCATAATTGAGATTGGAGTTAATGGTAGTCTAGCACTCTCATCCAACTGGACGCTTCAGTGTTAATGATTGATATTTGAATTGAAATATAAATTATGATACAAAAAAATGTAATATAAATTTTAGCTTGCCAAAGGTTTCTTTTTGTTTTGCTTTAATTTTGGGGAAAAAATTTATACTTTTATTCAGCAATCAATAGTGACTTTTATGATGTTACATGGGGGGGATGGGAGATATTAATAATTATATTTAATTTAATTTTCTTATATAAATATTATTAATTGTCATTGCTGTTTTTATTGTTATTTTGATTAAATAAATGCAACCTTTGTGACAATAAGAGATGTTACAACATTAAAAACTACTAATAACTATTGAATGGTAAAAGAGTAAAGGTTAATAAAAACATTTAACATTAGTAAAAAAAGAAACTTATTACTACTAATATTATAAATACTTTTTTAAATGAATACAACTAATATTATTTCTGATAATATTATTCGTATTATTTTTATCCACAAACAACATTACGGATTCTAGGCCCCCAAGCATAAAATTGTCTGTCAAATGCATAAATGTAAAAACCATTCAGTCAATCTCATTAGAACATGAGAGTTTAGATAACTAACTGATATTGCAAATGACTATATGGTCCATCATCTGGGAAAAGATCGCAAAGTTGCTACTCTAATGAGACGCTTTTTACTACTGCATGGAGCTTTCATGGTGATATAATGTGATATAATGTGCATCAGTCATCAAGATTCAGCTATTCCAGACCTCTCTGACACTAAACATCTAGCCTAAAGCTGCACCACTAAGACCCTGTGTCGGATTCTGTTGTTTTGTTATGGACACTGTAAATGCTTGAGTAAGAGATGTTAGGAACTTTGGGACTAAGCCTTAATTTTGCCAGTAATTTGATTTATGCATTTTTGTAAGTTGCTTGGTAAGAGAACATCTACTAAGAATGTCAAATGTAAACTTTATATCTGGATAATGGACAGAATAATTGAAGGACGAAGAAAAAGAAAAGAGGGAGGAGAGAGGGAGGGAGGGAACTAGGAGGAAGAGAAATATGTTTCTTCTGTGAAAGCATCTGATCTCAAGATGTGGAGACTTTTTATCAGGGAAACAAATAAGGAAGATTACTGAAGAGTTTTTTTTACTTTTATTGATAAAACGCAGGATAAAGCATTTGGACAGAATTATCACCAGCATTAACTAAACATTCATGCAAATACATTAATACACTTGAAGTGTAATTTTTGTGAATGCAGCAGTGTTCTGGAAAAATGTGGACCTGTATAACAGATTTCTTTACCTATGAGACGACCAAATCCGTGGTGGTAAAGAGCTGGACCATCGGCATCATCAACCGTGTTGTCCAAGTCCTCATCTTAACGTACTTCATTGGGTGAGTGTGCGGACTCATTTTTACAATGGTAGCGAGATTTAAACTTGTGCCCAAAAAACCCCCCCAAAAAAACATGTTTATGTTTAAAAACTTTGTTAAAAATGTATTAATTATTTATTTATCTTAATGTTAATTTCAACATTTACAAAAGTTGCATCTGTTCTTATTATTTAATGGACCTGAGCTAACATGAACTAACAACGAACAGGTGTATTATAATTAACTAACATTAACAAATATTAATAAAGACTGTAACAAATAAAATGCTGATTGATAGTTAATGGTAATGCATTAACTATGGGACCTTATAAGTGTTACCAAAGAAATATATTCCAGTTAGTTTGAACAATTATTTTTGGACAATTAAATCACTTGTTTTTTAGTCTTTTGACTTGGTGACATAATTGATGTAAAGTACAATGCAGTTGTATGAAAAAAAAAAAAGTGTTCTTAGTATATAAGTGCATGAAAATCTTACATTTTACATGCAGTTTTTTATATATATTTGTGAGCATTTTACATTAAAGAAAGCAAAAATTGCTCTGTATTTCCTGTTTTCCTAACTCTCTATCTCCCCCTCTCCTCCTCCCTCAGCTGGGTGTTTTTGTATGAGAAAGCATATCAAGTGCGAGACACATCTATCGAGTCATCAGTGATGACTAAAGTGAAAGGTTTCGGAGAGTATAACAACCGGATCATGGATGTAGCCGATTATGTCACACCAACTCAAGTAAATCTCAAGTTTTAGAATACTTAAAAGAATATGTATACTTTTGTGACCAATTTGTATTACAAGTCTGTGTGTGTGTGTGTGATCTATAATATTTCATGTTATGTGTGTTACAGTTTGTTGTCAAAATTGTAAACATAATTAAATCTAACAAAATCTCCCTTTGGAGACATGCGAGGAGTTCTAAGCATGTTTTGCTAATATTCTCCTTAAGTTATGAAAACGTTATTTCTGAATGTTCTCTGAGCGTTCAAAATGTCCAGTTTTTTAAAGCATTTTAAAAACTTTTTTCTTTTTTTTATGTGAACATTTGATCATTTTCCAAACCTTAAGGGCATTGCTCACTCAAAAATGAAAATTCTGTCATTAATTACTTACCCTCATGTCATTCCAAACCCGTAAGACTTGTGTTTATCTTCAGAACACCAATTAAGATCTTTTTGAGGAAATCTGAGACCTTTCTGGGCCTCTATAGACTGCTACACAACTACCATTTTAACGCTTCAAAAAGTGTATAAAGAGATCGTAAAACTAATCCATATTATTAATTGAGTGGGTTTAGTCCAAATTTTCTGAAGAGACAAGATTGCTTTATATGATGAACATATTGAGTTTATTCTTTTATTTAGATATACATTCATCAACTCACACATTGGTTGTGGTAAACGGAAGATCAAGCATGTTCGCTTGATGTGCGAGAACCAATAAGGTTAATTCTCGTGTTACGCAGCACGTTTGAGCTTCAGTAAGAACCAATGAAATTTATTCTCGTGTTACGCAGTACGACGTTTCAGCTTCTGCAAGAACCAATAAGGTTCATTCTCGTGTTACGCAGCACCTTTGAGCTTCCACAAGCGGTTTGTTCTCGCGCGTTACGCAGGTTTGGTTGAGCTTCTGTTTGTTCGCTGATCAATGTTTATATGTGAATAAAAGCCTAAATTAAATCTGTTCATCATATGAAGCGATCGAGTCTCTTCAGAAAATGTGGACTAAACCGCACAATTAGTATCTGTTTGAAGCATTAAGGTGGTAGTCATGTAGCTGTCAATGGAGGGACAGAAATCTCTCAGATTTAATCAAAAAGACCTTCATTTGTGTTAGAAGATGAACGAAAGTCTTACGGGTTTGGAACGACATGCGGGTAATTAATGACAGAATTTTCATTTTTGGGCGAACTCTCCCTTTAAGAGAACATTATTTAATGTTCTCTGAATGTTCTGAAACAAGTACTAAGATTTTAAAATGCTAAAATGTTTTAAAACTAAAATGTTTCAGAAAAAAAAGTTCCTCAAATGATGTATAAATAATATTTGTGTGCTAATGTTTTGAGAAAACATAAAACAAAGTCATCATTTACTCACCCTGGTGTTGTTCTAATGCTGTATGCCCTTCTTTCTTTTTCGGACCACTAAGAAATTAAATAAAAAAATTGTCCCACTTGCGCTCGCATATATTGGCAGTGAATAGAGTGGTGCATGGATGACTTCAGAAGTCTTGATTTCTCACAACTTTTGCACTTTTTCTGGCTGAGTCGGAGTGAACTGCGGCACAGAGTCTCACGAACGGGCCGTGCACAGAAGACGAATGGCCAATGATTTTGGTTAAATAATACATTACCTCCAGAACACTTGGAATATATGACTCGTTACGTATTGGAACATTCTATGATACATTGGCATCTTTTTTAAAAGCTTGATCCTGGACACTGTTCACTATGGAAGCTTGTTTCCGCCACAGAATAAAACCTTTTAAAAGATAATTGCGACTTTTTATCTCACCATTGCGAGTTTACATTCTCGCAATTCTGACTTTATTTCTCAGAATTGCGAGACATAGTAAAGTCTGAATTGCATGATATAAAATCGCAATTGCGTGTTATAAAGTCAGAATTGCGAGATATAAACTCACAATTGCGAGATATAAACTCACAATTGCGAGAAATAAACTTGCAATTCAGAGAAATTGCGAGATATAGCCTAAACATGCAATTTTGAGAAAAAAAAAGTCAAAATTGCGAGTTTATTTCTGTCACAGGTCTGGTTGCAGCAAAGGGGGGAAACAGGATCTTAATGCAGCAGCCTTTATTAATCATAAACTCAAATTTACAGAGATACTCAAGATAGACTTAGGACAGAACAACCATGCTAACAGCGATGACGACAGACAACTAGACAGCACGAAACTCAGACTTAAATACACAGAAAAACAAGAGGAACTAATTAGACTGATTAACAAGACACAATCAGTAACCATAGAAACAAACAGGGAGAGAATGAAGGAGAACTGAAGTAATTGACAGATTAGAAGACTATGAAACTTAAACAACAGAACTCAAAATGTGACAATATATCACAATTCTAGCTTTATAACTCGCAATTGCGACTTTATATCACGCAATTCTGACTTCATAACACAATTGCGACTTTATATCACGCAATTCTGACTTTATAACTCGCAATTGCGACTTTATATCACGCAATTATGAAAAAAGGGCCTGAATTGTGAGATAAAAAGTCGCAATTACCTTTTTTATGTTTTATTCTGTGGCGGAAAACAAGCTTTCATAATTCACTGCCATTATACACTGTAAAAAAAAAATATTTTGAAAATTGTGGAAGCTGACAATGAATGACTTCCAAATAATTATCCCCATGCAAAAAGATGCATTGTAGGCTACTAATCATAGCTTGAGGTCTTCACTTAAAATCAAACATTTATATTCACACACATATTTAATTGTGTTCAGTCAATCTATCAAGTCAAAGTGAAAAATTGTGTTGGCTGAACAAGTCCTACGACCAAAAAAACTGTATACCCATGCGCAAAATGTGCCTGACGAAAACCGTTGGTGTGAGAATTCAAATGTGGATGCGTGGGAGAGCGAGCAGAGCCGAACCAGCCAGTGCAGTGCCAGTGAAGACCGAAACAAACATTCCCAAGATAATACAAATATTCATTGTCACAAGTTTCAAGACGTCATGGACAAGCGCGGATGGGTCATTTTAAAAACAAAATTGCCTTTTGTGGTCCGAAAAAGAAAGAAAGGGCATACGGCATTAGATCAACACCATGGTGATGAGTAAGGTGACTCGTTTTAGGGTGACTGGATAACTATGAATGGACATTCTATTAACATTACTGAAAGAATACTAGCTCATAACTTTGAGAGAACCTTGTCAGAACGTTGGACAAAGTTCTGAGAACGTTGTTGGGGATGTTCTTACATGGAAAATCTAATTATAAATACAGTAAATACTTTATACTATTTTAAATTCTAAAAAAGCTAGTAAATGTAAATAAAAACAATAGCAGTTTATTATACAGTCTTTTTTACACAATGTCTGTGTGTGCATGTGTCCACCAGGGGGCGTCAGTTTTCTGCGTCATAACAAAGCTCATCACGACAGAGAACCAAGTTCAAGGAAACTGTCCAGAGGTGAGTGAGGACACTGCTTTGAATTACGTTAGTGGGTTTTTGAAGTACTGAAATCTGTCAAGGTTAATGTACACTAATTTCATTGATTCTTGTCTGTGTGTGTGTTCATGTGTTTGTCTATGTAACTCTTCAGAGTGAGATGAAATTCAAATGTGACAATGACAGTACTTGTAAGAAGCAGATGTCAAAACCATCAAGCAATGGTAAAATTCTAATGTTCTTTATATCATTTGTGAGATAAATATTTTGTATTGAAGGATCATATCAAGAAGAATATATATATTTTTTTACAATGAATAATAATAAAGGAAACAATTTTTAAATTGGTTAGACCCCCTGTGGTGAAAATCAAGTTTTTAATGTTTATATGTCAATGTGGTGTTTTTAATATGCTTTAAGACAAAACATGCACAAATTCATCAGTCAACACCAATGCTGAGTATTTTTTTAAACGGCAGTGTACCAAAGACAGTCTAAAATATGCGGTATGAAACTCCCCCTCTGTAACCAATCCCATCAATGTGTGGGGCGGGGATTTTTCTATAATAGGTGTGTTTAAATTGACTCGGTACTGCAGACCAATCGGTCTACTCTATAACATCAAAGTACCGCGAGAGTTATTATTAAAGGGACTTTAAGCAACAGCCTCTGGTGGAACCATAGACAGTAAAAGAAATGGACACAGCGACCCCATAGACTTCAATGGAAAAAAGTCAATTAGAAGCACTCACTTCCTAATGGCTGAGCGAACTGCGCAGGCTCAAACTGAGCTTGACGACGTAGATCTGACGTGAGCAACCTGTCTCACTGTTGTAAGTCATCTAGTAGCTGTGCCAAGAGGAATCTGAATCATTCCCTTTCGAATCTTGCAGAGACTGAGAGCGTGAGTAGGAGCTGCCCATGAGCTAACAGCAGGAGCCACTTTATGACTCTCTATGGGCTTCTCCCTTGACTTTATGCCTCCACGTCCCACCGATTGCCTGTGAGCTTCTCCTTCTGTCTATACGGTAATTTCTCTATTGTGCGACAGAGAATCGTGTGGTTATGACGCAATCGTTAGCCTATTTTTACAAAAAAACTGCTTCTACGGGGCCATAACGTAAGATACAAGGTAATGGAGCCTTTTATACATTGTCGTGTTTCTTTAGAAACAAACAATGGACAAATGGAGTCTTTAAACGCCTCAGATGTAAAGTTTTTCGCTGTCAAAGTGACGCCAAAATGAATGGGAGTCAATGGAATGCTAACAGCAGGTGATGGCTTGCTAATCAATGGCGGCCCCCAGGGAAGCTTCAGTTTCCGGCTGATGGATTACCCCCTTGGGTGGAACTTGGCATTCTGGCGTTCTATTGCGCATGCGCGACTTTAAGACAAAACTGCTACTTTTACTGCTACTGCTACGTTCTACTGTAACCGTCTACTATACGGGAGAACAGCTGATTTGCCGTAGTCGTTACTACGTGAAATATTACGAAAGTTAATGTTATGTTTTATGGTATGTGGCATTGTAATTTTTTATGTATATCATTAAATGCCCAAAGCAACCCTCTCCTGCTTTTTAAAATCACTTTCTTTATTTGTATTTTATCAAATGATCAAATTATCCCCTACACCACATACTGTTTAACTGTTGCTTAGTGATTTTTGCATTCTTTAGCTAGGGCAGTTAACCATTTACTTCCGGCTGCCGTTGCCGTTACATCAGCAACTGTTGCTTAAAGTCCCTAATTAGAGAGCAGACGGAAACGTATGCTTTCGAATTGCTCTCGCGGTACTTTGATGTCATCGGTTTGCACAGTATGGAAGCTTGTTTCCACCACAGAATAAAACATTTTAAAAGATAATTGTGACTTTTTAATCTCACAATTCTGACTTTTTTTAAGTTATAATGTCAGAATTGCAAGATATAAACTCGCAGTTGCTAGAAAAAAAGTCCGAATTGAGGGATATAAACTCACATATTGTGAATTCTGAGGGGAAAAAGACTGACTTTTTTTTCTCAGAAAAGCATGTTTATTTCTCACAATTCTGACTGTGGCGAGCAGGACAAGGGCGAGGGCCGTGAGAGAACGGAGCGAGGCCGGTGCCATGATTGATAATGAGCGACACCTGCGCGACGCACCGGTCTCGTATCTCTCACGGAGGAGCGGAAGCATAAAGGAGGAGCGACGACAGTGAAGATCGAGAGAGGAACAGGCCTGGACTTATGTTGTGTTTGTTTTATTATATGTGACAGCAGTCGTCAGTGAGGGGCTGCTGTCTTTTACTTACGTTTTGTATTTGTTTATTTTATTATTAAATGGTGTGTTGAATGTTCGCTAGTTCCCGCCTCCTTCTTCCCATAACATCTGAACTGCGTTACACTGACTTTAACTTGCAATTGCGGCTTTATATCACACAATTTTGAGGAAAAAAAGTCAGAATTGCGAGATTTATTGTCGTAATTGTGAGAAAAAAGTCAGAATTGTGAGATAAAAAGTCGCAATTACCTTTTAAAATTTTTATTCCACTTTTTTTCTCAGAATTGCAAGTTTATATCTCACAATTCTGACTTTATAACTCGCAATTGCGGCTTTATACCACTCAATTGTGAGAGACAAAAGTCAAAATTGGTTTAATCTCATAATTGCGAGAAAAAGTCAGAATTGTGAGATAAAAAGTCGGAATTACCTTTTTTATTTTTTATTCAGTTGCTGAAACTGAGCTTCCATATCGCAGCGCCGCTTCAAGTCGAACACCTATTATTTCTAGGGATGCTGATTGTTAGAAGTCAGCTGTCTGACTCTGAGATGGCGAACGGGAACATGGTTTGTGTTAGCAACACATTATTAGCTGTTTGATAACTGTAACGAGATTAGTAATCGGCAAACATTTAAACAGTTTAATCAATAACCAAACACGAAACGAAAGTAAAAGCCTCACAGACACTCATTATAAATCACGCCACCGGCCTCGCGCCGTTCTCTCATGGCTCTCGCCCCTGCCCTGCTTGCCACAAAAATGTAGTTAAGCCAAAGGCTAAACATATCAGTTACCGTTATGTGTCAACTTTTATTAAAATTCTGAATGGATTATATAGTCTAGAAAGCACGCAAAGACCCCCTTATAATCCCTTTAAAATCACTAAAATCCTGTCACTCATCTCAGTTCGCGATTTCACAAAGTTCCGTTATAATCAATAAAGTTGTCTTGCATAATGAATCTCTTATTTACATCGAGCGTGCAAAACTCAGTGCCGAACCAAAACTCTGGTGTTTTAACCGGTGAGTGAATTCTGACTAAATTAGATGCCCCTGATTGGCCACTGCGTTCAATACAAACATGTCTGTGAGCATTTACGAAATCTGTTTCGTCAATATGATATTACAGTATCAACTGAGGGTGCTCTTGAGTGGAGGTGGGAACTCATTTGCATATTCATGGGTCCGAGTATGCTAAATGAAGCAAGGGTGTAGAGTTACATTTCAAGGCATGAAGAAATTATTTTTTACAGGAAAAACGTTTAAATATGTCATTGTGATTGTCAAAGATGAGTTTTAAGGGAAAAAATCTTTGACTGCAGGGAAACTTTAACAGTTTGAGTGTTTCATTGTGGATTGTTTTGTTATCTTGAGATGATCAAGGAAAAACCAATAAACTACTAACATTATAAGAAATTTTACAGTCTATGTTATGCTTTGATCTATTGGTTGTATCTCGAAGGGTTGCTGACAGGACGATGTGTGAACTTCAATACTACCCATAAAACCTGTGAGATCAAAGGATGGTGTCCCGCAGAGATTGATGAAATTCAACCGTGAGTCCAATTTTAAATAAACAAATTAATAGATGTGTGAATGTTGAATAAAAAAGGACTGATGGAGTTTTTTTCTTATTAAGAAACCCCATGATGGAGGTGGAGAACTTTACCATTTTCATCAAGAACAGCATTCGCTTCCCACGTTTTAACTTCACAAAGTAAATGGAATCAAACTCAAAGACTGAAAAATCTCATCATTATCATTATCATTCTTTATTTTTTATTTTTTTTTACATAATCTACCAGTAAACCTTTTTGGATTATCTTTTTTAAAATAATGACCCTCATTGTTTCATAATTAGATCTCCTTTTCTGTAAATTATGGTTTTCATTAAATATTTCTCTTTTCCTTTCAGGGGAAACTTTTTGCCCAATATCAATAGTAGCTATATAAAGAAATGTAACTTTGACTCTGAGAGTAACATGTATTGTCCAATATTCAAAGTGGGTGATGTGATCCGATTTGCACAACAAGACTTCACCACTCTTGCTAAAAAAGTGAGTGTTTGTTTAATTATTTTTTATATTTGTTTTTTTTTTGTTACTTTCATCATCTAGTTTTACATATGTAAGAAATATTTCACAAGCACGACTTTTATACAACAGTATAAGTATATATACTTATATATAAGTATAATTATATAAACGAATGCAATTAACTCATATTAACAAATTAAACCTTATTGTAAATGTGTTACCAATAAGTTAATATCAATAAACAGAAGTAGTTTGGCCACTTAGTTCAAATGTTTTCATCCACCAATGGAAATAGTTTCAAAAGAGGCCAAAGAAATACCTGTTGTATAAAATAATAACTGTTTCATAAAAGTATCTAATAACTGCTAGCAAACATTACATTAGTAAACATTACATTTCAGACTATTTTTTTAAATTCTCAACACTGTAAAAAGTGATCAGGTGACTTTAAAAAGTGAGGAAACCCATTGCCTTAAAATTATTAAGTGAATAAATTTCATGCATAATTGAACAAATTAAGTTTTGGAATTGTCAAGTTCAGATAACTTAATTTTTTTCAATTACGCATGAAGTTTATTACTTATTCATTTTAAGGCAACAGGTTTCCTCACTTTAGTTAAGTCAACTGATCACTTTTTACAGTGAAAATTCTCTTTAAAGGATTAGTTCACTTTTAAAAAAACTTTTGCTGATAATTTACTCACCCCCATGTCATCCAAGATGTCCATGTCTTTCTTTCTTCAGTCGAAAAGAAATTAAGGTTTTTGATGAAAACATTCCAGGATTTTTCTCCATATAATGCACTTTACTGGGCACCAAACGGTTCAAGGTCCAAAAGACAGTTTCAGTGCAAACTGTTCAAAGGGCTTTAAACGACACCAGACGATGAATAAGGGTCTTATCAAGCGAAACGATCGGTTATTTAAAAAAGAAATAACAAAGTTTAAGTTTTATAAGCTCAAATGCTCGCCTTGCTCTGTTCTGTGTGACTCTCCTGTTCGAACTCGTTCATCAAAATAAACAAATCTTTTTTCGAGTCATTTGGTTCATTTAACGAACGAAATGAACGAATTGACTCGGAAAAAGATTCGTTCATTTTGATGAACGAGTTCGAACAGGAGAGTCACACAGAACAGAGCAAGGCGAGCATTTGAGCTTATAAAACTTAAACTTTGTTATTTCTTTTTTAAATGAGCGATCGTTTCGCTTGATAAGACCCTTATTCATCGTCTGGTGTCGTTTAAAGCCATTTGAACAGTTTGCAGTTTGCACTGAAACTGTCTTTTGGACCTTGAACCGTTTGGTGCCCAGCAAAGTGCATTATATGGAGAAAAATCCTAGAATGTTTTCATCAAAAACCTTAATTTCTATTCGACTGAAGAAAGAAAGACGTGGACATCTTGGATGACATGGGGGTGAGTAAATTATCAGCAAAAGTTTTTTTAAAAGTGAACTAATCCTTTAAGTCAAAAAATCAAATTGGATTTGTGTAAGTAATCTCTGTCTCTTTCTCTCAGGGAGGAGTGATAGGGATAAAAATAGCATGGGTATGTGATTTAGACAAGGCAGATGATGAGTGTAAGCCCGCCTACTCCTTCACTCGTCTGGACGCCATGTCAGAGAAGACCACTGTGTCTCCGGGATACAACTTCAGGTTCTAGAACCTTTTCTTTCCACCTTAAAATTTAATCAAGAATGTTGCAGTCTGCAGGCCTCTAATGATACTGCACAAACAAATGCCTCCAATCTGTCCACGTACTTCATCCACATGTTTATCAGACTTTTTGTAGTGGCCACATACTATAAAATATTACAAAAATGCATCAAATCATTCAAAGTTGATAGCTTGGATAATCCTTTTTGAAACTTTATCTGCTAACATGTCTAAATCTTTGTCCTTAGGTACGCAAAGTATTTTCAAATGGAGAACGGAACTGAGTATCGCACTCTGCTGAAAGCCTACGCCATCAGATTCGATGTGCTGGTTAATGGAGATGTGAGTTAATTTTAAATTGTGTGTTTTTTCGAGCATTTTCTGCATCTGGGCATAGTTTCTCATTACATTTTCTCTTTAAAGGCTGGGAAATTTGACATGATACCAACTCTAATCAACATGGTTGCTGCCTTCACCTCTGTTGGTGTGGTATGTGTCTTCATTAATCTGCATAAACATAAAACAGCTCATTTTCACAAAATGGATAATACAAATGTGTCACTTTTTTGGTAATTCTTAGTAGAAAGTCAACTCCAAATGTCAGCTAAAACATACTTACTCAAATTCAGCATTTGCTTCAACTATTTAAGATGTAATTTGTTATTTGTTATTTCATATTAATGAGATGGTCACTTCACATTGCACTGCTGGCTTGCAGCATAGCGTTAGTCAAAAACATTCATTCCATTATTGTCTTAAAGTTAAGTAGATTATACTCAATAGTTATATCTGTGAACTTTATTAAAATCTGCAAATAAATGTACATATGTTTACAACATTTCTTTATGTTTGAATTAATACACGACTCATTGTAAATAGAATGAACAATCGAAAGTAATATATAAGTATCAGTTAGATCTTTGATTTCTACTTGCTTGAATCAAGTACAAATGTAATATTTGTTTTATATTTTTAAGTTCACGTTTAGGCAAGGCAAGGCAAGTTTATTTATATAGCACATTTCATACACTATGGCAATTCAAAGTGCTTTACACAGAAAGGAATTAAAATAATCACAAAATAAAAGCGAGGAAAATTAAAACAGTTATAAAAGGAATTAAAAGAGTAAAAAGATGATACATAGATAAACTTCTCATCTGGCAAAACACAGGTGTATCAACTCCCAGCTTTACTCTGAGATTTTTAGATTTTAGTTAAACTTACTCTGAAGTTTAACTAACTTATTCAATGTAGAAAGTGCTTTTTTTCTTTATTTACTATAATACTGTAATATACTATAATTTTGCTATATATACTATATATTTATTAAAAGAAATTGTGTACAACGTTCTAAAAAATCATTAAAATATTAATAAATTCAAGTAAAACGCTTTCACTCATTGTCTGTCCTGGCCTGTCCTGCCACTAAGCACAAAACTTTTACCATAGTTCTGACCAGTGTAAGTCAAATAATGAAGATTTATTTATTTTAAGTATGTGAAATATGACCCAAGTGAGAAGTGAGCAAACCGCCCGGCTGGCCCCAGACCTTTAAGAACGATCGATCAGTATAGACATAATATACCAAAAAAAAAAGTTGCTGACTTAAACTTTGAAGTATAATCAATTTGTATCTTTAAGTCGTTTCAACTTAAATTACATTAAACTGACTTTAAAAATTAGTTGAATCTTGTATAACTTGTAAAAAAAATGTATCAAATTATTTTGATGAGTTAAAGCAAGGTAAAAACATATGTTAACTTATTGATCAGACATAATTTTAAAACTGCATACCCATTTTTGTGTAATATATATTTACCTTTGTACAACTATAATATTCATGACATGAATTTTGTCTCCATCCTCATCTTGAACTTGGACTGTTTTATCATTAATCAGTGCCAGACATCAACTTGCTTCTTAATACAATATTTTAAAGCATTAGCATCTATTTCCATTAAAGCTTGACAGCATGGATGCATATGTATTGGTAATTTATTGTTTATTATTATTCATGTTTACATTTTTTTACGATTGCTTACACACTAAAATTTAACTTTTCCCACAATTATAAGCAAAACCTTACACTCAAGGAGCAAAACACAAGGCTAGATTTGCACAACTGTAAGCACATTGTCAGCTTCACACTATATTTGCTAAACATTACACAGAGTGATTTGCAAAACACTAAACACACTTGTATACATCAGACACAGAAGTATATCATGATGTCACTTCCTTGCAATTCTAAAGCACTGACTGTCAAATTACCAAACCTATGAGCCAATCTGTTAAACACAGCCATCAGGTGCACACACACACATGATTGCTAAATTGTAGACACACCAATCAGGTTTAAGCACTATAAAAATGCAGCAGGTTATTTTTTTAATTCAGATTATTTTTTATGTTTGTTGTTGTTGTTATTTCCTATAATTGTTGTAACCTGTACTGGATACAGTATTTTATGTTTGTCTGTTGTTTGCTGAGCTAACAGTGTTATGCACACTACTGTAGTAGCATGACAACTGGGACATGTTTTGTTGTGATTCTCCATGTTGACTGATTTGGGTATATGGAGAGAAATCAATGATATTTTCCTCAGTCTGCATGCATTGATCTTGTGTAGTGTTTGGTGAACTATTGTATAGTTGCACTTTCTCTGTGTACTTCATTTACAGTACTCTAATCACTGAGAATTAGACCTGCTAAAAGTGTTTTAGGTTAGCAACAGCAGTAACTGGTTCAAAAAGATTGAAGTCAAATGAAATGTTTGTGTTTCGTATGGTAACAAAATATTGTTTTTATGAAGTCGTGTATAGTTTTGACAAAAGTTTTCCATTTTGCAAATGATCTGAATGTTGTTGTGCAACTTTGGTGTAGGGTTGTGCTAATTGTGTGTAGTGTTTTGACAAACCGGGCCCAGTTTTCAAAATTGTGCTTAAGCAATTGAAAAAAAACCTGTAATAATGAAATTAATTGATAATAGAAAATAATTTATACCTGTGAACCTCTTTAAGTAGACAAAACTAAGACTTTTTCCTTTATTTTAGGGTACAGTGCTTTGTGATATAATTCTGCTGAACTTCTTGAAAGGAGCTGACCAGTACAAGGCCAAGAAATTTGAAGAGGTTTGCATTTTAGCAAGTCGCCAAAAACATTACATCTATCCAGTTATGATGACAATGAATGCCTCACTGCCTCTCTCTTGCTCTGCTTCTAGGTATCAGATTCACATATTCAGAGCACTAGTTCATTCTACAGGTCCAGAGACCACAGCCAGCATTCAATCAAACCTGATGAGAAGTTCTCGACTGACTCCGGAGCATTTTCCATTGAACGCTATAGTTAATAGTGCCCACCACAGCGCTTGGGAAGGATTGCAAAAAAGCATTCTCATTTTTTTCATTAATTCAGTAATTTATATATATATATATGTATATATATATATATACACATATTTAAATTTTCTCCCATTAGCCATTAAGAATATTTTAGAATCATCTTCAAATCAAATTAAACTTCAAAATTTGCCTGACTAATCAAATATAAAAAAAACATTACTATATTTTGTAAATAATAGTATTAAGTAAATACTCAAATTCTGATATGTATGCTCACAGTGTTAGCATGGCCTTTACACAACTATTAAAGCTGCAGTAGGGAGTTTTGAGAAAACGTTGACTTAGCCTGAAAATTTGAACAAGCACAACTTACAGGTCCCACCCCCTTGCTCTCTGCTGCGCTACAGCCCTCCCTCCACAGCTCGTCCTCCACAGCGGAGCCTGTCGTGAACGCGCAGGCTAGTAAACAGGGCCACCGATAACAGCGGATAAAAAGTTATATGGCACATTCACTAATAGGGACTAAACGTCAATAATATGCTTTACATTGACTATGGCCTGCCCATACTTTGACTACAAACTTGGTCCTCAAATCATTATGTATTTTGCAATAGCCTACATGTAACTTTATAACTTTGCACTCTTTCTATAAGTTATAAATAGCTAGTAAGATAACGTTAATATAACGGTAACTAACGTCACAGTATGTAAGTAATTATTCTAGCGATATTTAATGCTAGATAAGGTGTGCTAGTTCATTATTTCAGCAACATGACAAGCCAGTGAATTAGCAGGTTTCAATTGTTGCTTAGCAGAGTGCGTGACATTTTATCTACATGTTATGCGGCTAGAGTTTTGACACCGAGTCAATGGGCTCTGTGTAATTCTTTCTTTTTCGCTTGTTTATCTTCATCAGTCTTTTTCCTTTTACCTCTTTATTTTATGAGCAGGTGTCACTCGAGAATTGGCAGTTTAGGTTGTTTCTCCGTCATAAGCACAGCTGCAGCACGCCGGCAAACTTGAGTTTGAACGACGGCTCGCGCTGTGCAAGAGAGGGGTGTGATCAGCGCGTACACGAGCGTGATTGACACTGCTAAGACATTCCTCCTGGCTCTGATTGGTTGTTTCTGACCGGGAGCGTGTATTTCTGCAAATGGCAATAGGACCACTGGGAGGAGCCAGAGGAGCTTGATTTTTACACAGATTATCTGTCTCATATTCTACTGTCAGGACATAATGACAGTTTTAGCAAATACATTTTTTCAAAAGTTACCTACAGCAGCTTTAATAAGTTAAAAATATTCATTACATGGCTTGGTTGAATTATAATGTAGAATGCGGTCTGTTATTTCTTGATAAAAGACCGCTGCTAAGTGTGACCGTTGCCATGAAAAACAGAGCGTTGCCATGGACGCAGTGGTTCAGAGACGGAACGGACTATTTTCTTTAGCGGAAGCAATACAATTGTTTTTAAATCAATAAACTCCTTTTTATTTAAACTCCTCAATAAACCCTCCGCTTCGTGTCGGGGTCATAATCACCCTGTCGGGGTTGTATTCGCTATAACAACCGCCTCGCTATACATTATCCTTACTTAATAATTCATGTGATTGTTTGGTAGACTCCCAAAATGTAGCTATCATATGCAACTGTATGTGTTTTTTATTTTGTGAATTTAAAGTTATTGTAAAAGAGTATCACCCTCACTTTTGGCCAAGTGTAGATGAAAATGTTTTTGCTTGATCAAATTTTTCTGAACTTTTCTAACACTGTCAGGAGTATTTTTGGTTCATTCTGTTCCCTGTTACGGTTTGCCTGAGCAGCCGTTTGCACGACACAGTTTCAATAAAAAACTGAAAACTTTAAGCGTTTTGGCTGATCATTTACATGGCAACAGCAATTTCAGGGGGCCTGAAAATACAAACTTTTGAAAACAGATTTTAAAGTGCAAGTTTTTGAAAACAATACTGTTATCATCTCTGTGTAAACTACAAAAATCCAAAATTGTGAAAAAGGTGAAGACGTGTATTACGTGTTCAGTTTATAGGCGCGTAGTTTTTCTTTACAAAGTGACCTCTCCAACTACTGGCCAGTCATGCATAATAATACACCATTTCTTATCGTTTTTCGCGAATCCATGTGAATGGGTATAGTTTTGACAACATTGTCGTAAAAAAAAATTCCAATTTGCTTGTAAATATTGATGCTCGTGGGGAGGCTCAGGGCAAAAAAAAACATGTATATGTCATTTCTGATATAAATTGTCTTATTTGAACTAATGGGTTATGACAGAGAAACGAGACTGACAAGATATCACTATCAACTACAAATCCCTGGTTAGAAGCTACCTTAACTCTTTTTTTTAACAGCATAAGTTACCAAGCAAATGTTCTTAAGAGTGTGTTTGGTTTTTGCATGTGAAGACTGCTGAGTAAGTATTACAGTTTAAAAGCAGCAAGAAAAAGTGAGAAGTATGAGTTGTAAAAAAAAAAAGAAAGTGTTATACCACTAGCACTTTATTTTACAGTCCTGTTCCTTGTGTACATAGTGTGTACTTATTATTGTGATGACAATAACTGTGTAATAAATAGCCACTAACCCTGAACCTACTCTTACCTAACCTTAACCAATGTAATTGTATTATTTTACCCAGTACTTTAGAACTCTGTAAGTGCTTGTACTGTAAAATAAAGTGTAACCGTTATACTATTGTCATGTGTGGCTGTACAAAGCGCACGACAACAAAGGAGATCAGCAAAAACAGTCTTTAAATCCAACAGGCAAGGAAAACTCAGGAAACAGAATACTACAACCACGTAAAACACCGTCAAGACAGGTCAAAGAACTGAACAAAACAGGGAGAATATATACCAGACAAAATGAGGGAACTAATGAGCTAATTAATTGAATAAAAGGTGAATAGAATGATTAATCAAGGGAACAAACTGGAAACTAGTTCACACAGGAAAAGAGAACTTAAACACACAGAACATAAGTGACATATTAGGAGAAATATACATTTACTAAGCTAAAAAAGAATATATATGCTCTGCAGTCATTTTCTTAAAAATAATAACTCTTTCATAACATTAAAGTCTTGAGTCAGACTAACAGTACAGCCATTCAACATGTGATCTCCATCATCTGTAGTTGCACTGTGAAATGTAGAAGTTCAAATTTAAAGAGATCAGCAACAGTGTCTGTAACCACAGGGCACAGTGGTATAACGGTCTATAGTGTGGTAAAGGAGCAAGCTTGTTAGTAGATCAGAAGCATTAGGCCCATTCAAGTTGGGATCTGTTTGAGCCAACTGCATTTTGATTGCAACTTCAACAACAACAAAGGTTTTATCTTTCACAATTATGTTGCATATTATATGTTAAAGGTGTTTTCCAAACCAAAATAAGGCATCCACATATCTTAATTTGGTCAATCTGCTCCACAGATATTCATCAGGTATTCATGTTGGCATGAAACGGAAGTTGCGATAGTCTTATCTTCCCTATTGTGATGTGTATCTGAGTGAAACGGCTTCTCAAACAAGAACAAATGTAGGGTGGGACTTGATTTTGTCCATCGGGAATTGGTTGGATGGTTGTGGTTTTCTATTGCTGTGACCTCATGTGAATGACAGGTTGTATACTGCCCATTGTAAATAATGTTGTACACAGATAAAGTGTCAATTTTGATTTCATGTTGATTTTTTTTATTATTATTTTTTTTTATATATTCAGCGAAACTCATGCTATGAGCTTTTATGTGGAACTCCATATAGACACACTACATGCTGAGTAAGAGAAAGGGAGGAGTTGTGAAAAAAAAGTGGCGGATTTAAGACAGACTAAATGTTATGAGGAGACACGGAAGACGAGTGGAAGGAGTGGTAAGTCCATTTTAGTACCATTTGGTAACCATGCGTTATGTTTAAATTATTAAAAAAAGAAAAATAAGGATTTTTTTCTTTTAAATTACTATTTTATAAAACAATAGTGTAAGCTTCCATCAATCATGTTCTCTCCTTCACAGTGTGCAGCAGGAATGGAGATGTTTAGCTTTTTGTTGATGACTTTCCTTTTTGGAAGTGGTAGCTTCTTAACCATGAAGAGAGGTGCTGATTAAAATTAGGCTATTTAATTTATTTAAATATTTTATGTTATATACACAGATTATTTTAAAAGAAAGTTTTTAACCCCCAAGGGTAAATTTTGGTGTGATGTTCACATTTAGATGAGGCTGCTGGCCGTATTTCCTCATTAGGCTGTATTTTGCCTAAAGCCTGTCCAATGACTGGCTATGAGAGTTGGTTCAGAGTGGGGTCACGCTGTGTCAAATACTTTGGCAATCCTCTCAACTTCACTGCAGCTGAGGTGAGTAGTGTCAGTGTGGGACAAAATAGACAACACATATTAAAAAGAAACTGCATTATGTAATTCTCCTAATTATTCTTTCCTCATTTTCCATAAAGATGTTTCTTATTGATGTTGTTGCTCTTTCCCGCACACAGTTCAGCTGCAGAAGCAACGCCCCTGGTGGACACCTGGTGTCAATGCACAACACAAAGGCTAATGGTGACGTGCTCTGCATTGTGATCAAGTATAGTCCACATAACCTGCGCATCTGGATCGGAGGCTTTGAGTTGTTTCAGGTAAATGAGACAGAAGTGATTTAAAAAGTAAATATATAATTTACCTATAACCTTTACCCTAAAATGTTTGATCTTTCTCAGTCTGGTAGATTTGTCTGGACTGACGGTTCCTTTTGGAACTATCAAATCTGGACACCTGGTGAGCCCAACCACAGATTCAGTAACATTAATGACTGCGTGGAAATGAACTGGAATCGTAAGCAAAAGGGTTTTTCTTTTTTTAAATATGCAATTTTAAAAAGCCTACAATTCACTTGTGAAACTCAAGTAGGCTAGTTGACAGGAACAGGAAGATACCACTGTCCCAATAATTGTACTATTTATTGGTAAAATCACATAAGTTGCATGATTGGTATAACATGTAACCTAGAATATATCATAATTATTTTATTCTCACATTCTATGTTGGTTTGACCTTATTCTGCTTTCTTTTAGATGTTGGCAAGTGGAATGACGAGCCTTGTTATGTGCAGAAAAACTACGTATGCGCCTTCAAAGTGATGACAGCTTTGACTTAGACTTGCAGTAGGCTTAGACTGAACTGTTTTATCTGTCAATTAACCTTAAACATAACTTTGTATTCAAAATTGTGAAAACAACATTTTTAAAAATGAATAAAAAATTGTTTTATAATATAAATGAGTTGCACAGAGGTTTGGGTTTTGCATAATACACAGAAAGTTATGACCATTTTACACTTTATATTAAGTGGACAGTTCCTGAGGAGTTACCATGTAAGTACACTGTTAATACAGTGTTGCGCAGAGGTTTGGGTTTTGCATAATACATGTAAGTTATGACAGTTTAACACATTGTATCAAGTGCAGAGTTCCTGAGGAGTTACCATGTAAGTACACTGGTACCACAAGGGAAAACTTTAGCTGTAATTCAACATAAGTCCTGCCGGTCATATAGTAAATACATGGTATACACATAGGAATCATCATGGTTTCAGTGTGTTCTTAACTGGTAACTACAGTATGGAAGACTGCGTGTGGAAGTGGAACAACTTGTGTGAATACAGATTGTTGTTACAAAATGTAGTTACATAATGCCTGTTACACATGTGTACTTACTGTAGTGGAAAAAGTGTTGTTACCAATGTCCTGTTACACATTACCAATGTGTATTTACACTGTAGTTACATACTAAGTACATATCTACTAACCATGTAAGTTCACAGGTATTAGGGCCACTTAATATAAAGTGGGACCGTAGTTAGAACTATGCTATTCTATGATGTTAGCAATAGGCCTATAATAAATTCCCAATTAACGACTTTTATTAATTATATTAAGAAACCATGAATAAAGACTGAGAGTCAATGTTCAGAAATTATTATGTTTGAACTATCCTGTATAGCTGTGTTTTGCTGTGTGTTTGTTATCGAGCTCAAATGTGTTAATTTTTAATTATTGTTATGAAAAAGTTAATAATTGTATTTAATTGAGAAAATGTTAAGTTTGTCTTGTATATTTTTGGATTAGATCAGATAACATTTTAAGCTGTCATATGGTCATGTTACAATGTGGAGAATGTTGTCACTTTTCACTTCCATTCTTTCGGGGTAAATAAAGAAAAAAGTATACACTGTTAATGAAACAAAACCACATAATTGTTCTAGACATGTGTGAAATTAATGTGGAAAAATACTCTGAACCCCAAGTGAATTTACACCGACTAAGAAAGTCAAAAAGTGTTAGTTGTCGCACCTTCTCCCCACAACATGGCCTAATAGGAAATGTTTCTGTCTGTTTTAACTTTAACTTTGCTCTGCCTAAATACATTATTATTTAAGCATCTGAAACATGTGTGAACATACTATTTCTGGAATTTGTCTATGTAATGTGTATGTCTACCTGTAATGTGTAAAGAAATAAGATAACTAATTCTTCTTGCAGCATATCGCTGTATAAAAGCAGCTATTTGTTATCTTCAGAGGGCATTTTTTTAAGGCGTTTCATGTGTGATGGATATCTCTGAAAGCGAAACGCGCGATTAAAACGCGAGAACAAAATGTGAGAGGTTGTGAAAATGAAAGAGATACAGAGTGACTGGCATAAAGTGAAAAATGAAACAATTTTATGTTAAAAATTAAGTTAAAAGAAAACATTTTAGCTGGGAAGGAATACGTGAAAATTCATGAAGATTGGGCACTTCTGGAAAAGTTTTTGATTTTTGGCAGGGTGTTAGGTATGGGCCTAAGGTTTTTTTTAAAAACATGGATACAAGTTATACACTGGCCATTTTCTCTCTGCCTGACGTGAAATTTGAGTCTTAAGTAATTAGGATGCAGTGAACTAGTTTAGTTATGCTAAATGTCTCTTATGGCTTATATACAATTTATACATGATAATCGATCGGATTGCTTAAATGACTCTCATACAGTGCATTCAGAATGTATTCAGTCCCCTTAATTTTTTTAAACATTTTGTTATGTTGCTGCCTTATGCTGAAATTTACACATACATCTGCTTACCCTGCTGAACAAATCCAGCCTCACTGGTCAAAAGTATAAGGTATGTTATAAGGCTGAAAAAATGGTGGACATGGGAATCATACTGGTTTATGCTGGGGGGGGGGGGGTTTCAGCTGTTTTTTGTTTTGTTTTTTTGCTGGGTAATACCCCATAATGACAAGAAAACATATTTGTGTAGCTATCTGATTAGTAAAAATGCAAAAAGAGACAAAATCTATGAAGCATTCAGACTGTGAGGTGCAGCAACTTTGGCTGGCAGCTTTAAAGGGATACTCCACTTTTTTTGGAAATAGGCTCATTTTACAACTCCCCCAGAGTTAAACTGTTGAGTTTTACCGTTTTTGAATCCATTCAGCCGATCTCCGGTTCTGGCGGTACCACTTTTAGCATAGCTTAACATACATCATTGAAGTGGACAAGACCATTAGCATTTCTAAAAAAAAAAATGACCAAAGAGTTTCGATATTTTTCCTATTTAAAACTTGACTCTTCTGTAGTTACATCGTGCACTAAGACCGACGGAAAATGTAAAGTTGCGATTTTCTAGGCTGATTTGGCTAGGAACTATACTCTCATTCCTGCGTAATAATCAAGAAACTTTACTGCCGTACCATGAGTGCAGCAGGCGTAATGATATGACGCAGCGCCTGAAAATAGTTCCGTTGTGTTGAAGGAAGGTGGTTTATTTTCAGGCGCTGCGTCATATCATTACGCCTGCTGCTCTCATGGTACGGCAGTGAAGTTTCTTGATTATTACGCAGGAATGAGAGTATAGTTCCTAGCCATATCAGCCTAGAAAATCGCAACTTTACATTTTCCGTCGGTCTTAGTCCACGATGTAACTACAGAAGAGTCAAGTTTTAAATAGGAAAAATATCGAAACTCTTTGGTCATTTTTTTTTTTAGAAATGCTAATGGTCTTGTCCACTTCAATGATGTATGCTAAGCTATGCTAAAAGTGGTACCGCCAGAACCGGAGATCGGCTGAATGGATTCAAAAACGGTAAAACTCAACAGTTTAACTCTGGGGGAGTTGTAAAATGAGCCTATTTCCAAAAAAAGTGGAGTATCCCTTTAAGTGGAGGTTGACACTAAGAGATCACAACTGAATCCATAACTACAAGATCTAGCAGTTTTATTATTTATACAAGACAATCCAACTTAGATCACAGTTACACAGTTTTAGATACATTACTCTGCCGGGGTGTCTGAAGGCTGCTGGGCTTACAGTGCTGCCTCTGAAAGTCTACAAGGCAAAAGCACTCATAATGCATGAGGGTAGAGCTGCGGGCTGAGCGACACCCAACACGTTTGCCAGATGTTATAGTCTTCGTGTAGAGCCAGTGTCCTCCCGTGCACTCGCCCCAAGTAGCCAGTGAACGTCGGGGACCCGCTGGGTGTCTCACTTGCTGCGCCATTCCCCTCCTATTGACCGGAAACGTGAGCTTATCTTGCTCTTCGGTTGAGTTCCCCATCTGGCGAACCCTTTTGAGTTCCTCCACCACTCTTGGCAGTCAGATGTGGCGGAGAGTCCGACGCCAGGCCTAACACTCGTAAGTACACCCAATGGTTGACCCCTGTGCTAGGTTATGTCCCATATGTTGTGATCCCTACAGTGATCCAATATGTGTTTTCTTCCATGGTACGGCTCCCCTCTCGGCGAGCCTGTGTCTTTTCCGTTCTTCACTCCTCCCAAACTAGGCCGGAGCTACCTCAGAGACAATCCATATGTTGCACTGCCCTAATGGCCTGTCCATATGTCTAATTTCCACATTATGGCTCTCTACGGGCAAGATGTGGATTCCGTAGCTTTCCTTTCTGCCTGGAAAATGCATGCTTTCCCAGTGTTATCCAATAATCTAACAGGTCATGCGGAACAGCAGTGATTAACTTTCTCTGCGTAAAGCCCTGTCCCATCTTCCGCCCCAGAAGTGCGAGGGGATCAGGTGGCTTTCGTGGAGCGCTGGAAGGTGCACCAATACTGGGACTTGGATAGGGATCCCAATTCGTCAGATCACATCTGACATAACGTCGAACGTGACTGACTGATAGGGAATGCCTCGGTTACGTAACCTTCGTTCCCTGAAGGAGGGAACGGAGACGTTACGTCCCGCCATCACAATTACTGTACCACTGTTGGGCGGCCGGGTCACCGGCTCGGCTCCTCAGCAAAAACCTGAATGTGCATTGCATCCGCTTCCGTATTTATACCCGCACTGCAATGTGCAAACCTGTAATGTGCAATGGCTCGTTTGGTTTACACTCGAAGGTGATTGGGCTCTCAGGCGAGATCTCAATTCATAAGACGACATCTTACATAATACCTTCAGGGAACGAGGGTTACATGTGTAACCAAGACGTTATATGTCTTGTTTAGTTTAAACCTTTATTAAATTCAAAAATACATTATGACCCAGATTGCAATGAGAAGCTTGCACGATATCAAGTCTTGAGGAAATAATACGAGTAATCATGTTTGAACCCATTTGGACACTTATGTTATCTTCTCAGTCATTGCACTATTTGTTTATCCATTGAAATGTGGATGCAGAGATTGATCTGTTAAGTTCACAGACATTATACTTTAACCCTAAAGAACACAACGCAACGCACAAATCAAAATACAGGTAAAAGAGCTGTGAAAAATTAGTATGAAAAATGCCCTAACAGCCTTTTAGTTCTGCATCTCTTGATTTGACTAGTTTTAAGTGAATTATTATAGCTTACATTGTAGACAATACTATTATCAAGTTTAACATTTAGATTTAATGGAAGTATGTTACCTTTGTAGCAATGCTGTAAATTGATTAATAATCCAGGCACTATAGATGTGTGAAACACTTTCTTGTGTGATGAAGAATAAAAAACTGAAGATGTTAAGATTGAGAAGGGGAGGAGTTGTGAAAATGAATGGAACAATATAAAACAAGGTGAGGCAACGATTACTGTGAGGATAGAAGACAAAAGTGCAAGAACAACAATGGTAAGTAATGACACTTTGTATCCAATATATACTGTATATATATATATATATATATATCACATTACGCTAAATAGAACCCAAGCACAGACAGTAACTTTCACAAAACACGGTTTATTTATAACCAGAAACAAAGACCCACGATGGGACAAACAAACAATAACTTGACAATAAAACGGAACTGGAACATTCACAGAGAGATCACAATACTCACAGAGCTAAATGTTAACAAGACGAACAAGCACTGAGGAACAAACATCGGGAGCTTACATAGAACACATAATCACAGAGGTACAGGTGACACTGATGAACATCAATAACGAGAGAACAATGGGCGTGGTAAGGAGACATGATCACATTCAGGTGACGCTACAACATTAACTAACGAGGTAAAACATAAGACAATGCAAACACATAGCCCAAACCAACCGGCCATGTGTTAGCACACAAAACGAGACAAATACATGACAATATATATATATATATAGGCTACATACATACAGTAAACCGTGGTGAAAGATTACACCCTCCCACCACCTTATTTTTTCCCCTGACCATCATCTCAGCACTTTTGATGAATGGCTACGCTATTTTTTATCTGAATATCGACATTTGTGAAAAACAGTTTTGAGGTTAACTGATCTAATTTTGTGTCCCTGGAAAATAGTGACCTATAACATTATGTTGAATATAAAAGTTTTTTTGTCCATTTGTTAATGAGGGATTTGTGGACACAACAATGTTTTTGGATTTGTGTGTGCTTTTATTTTATTTATTCAGTTTTTATTTTGAAGTAAAAATATAAAATGATAGACCCTTGGGGTAAGATATATATATATATATACATATCAAAAAAGTTATGGTTACGCTCATTTCCCTTATTATGTTTTTTTTTTTTTTGCAGTGGAAATCAGGATTTATTAGCATTCTGTTGATGCTTCTTCTTTTTGGAGGTGGTAACTTCTTAACGATGGAGAGAGGTAGGCCTAATGTTTAATTCATTCAATAATATATTAATGTTGAAATTTCCAAATTCCACCACCATTCCTTAATGCAGTTGTTCCAACATGTGTTCTGCCGGCCCCCCTTAAAAATATGTACAAACCCTCCACATTCATGCACCCACATTAAGATAGTCTCATATGGAATAAATTTAGTCTCAAAATGATTAACATATGCATGCACAATTATGAACTTGATAAATGTTGCAGATATGTTTTACTATCCTCAACGTGTGCAACATTTTTAAATGAAGATTTAAATGAATTTGCAATTTGTACAAATAGAGACAGTTTTTTGTGAATACAAATGTTTTATTTTTGTATTAGTGTATAATAATTCGTGCATGCAACAAATACGTGCATTGTGGATCAGGTGACACGCGTGCATTCATTAACGTAATTTCTGAGTCGATCTCATTTGATTCATTTTGAGACTTTCTTGTAATTTTACAATGAGTGCTTTTGAACAATTACAAATGAATAGGCCTGGGACTAGTTCCCAATCGAAAGGGAAACACATTTTTGAAGAATGATTGATGATGGATTGACTCATTGTTTAAATTGTTTTAATCAAAAAAGTTACATAGTGTAGGCCTACCTTTTAAACTTTAATTTTATTGCGCTTTATAGGCTATAGCTTTAAATTAGATTCACAATAACAAACAGAATTAATGATGCAAACTTAATAAAATATGAGATCATTTCAAATTCTGCTGTAAAGCAGCTGTAGTAGCCTAATTAAGTTTTATAATTCAGCTAAATTCAGTTTTGACGATTCAGTTAAATAACTGAACAAATACTTCAATGACGTTGTAAACTCATTGTCTGCTTTACATTTACTTGCCACTGGCAAGACTTTCGCAATCTTGTCCATGCTTAGTGCACTGCAGAACCAAGTATTCATTTATAATTTTACACGGCTCCTCAATTCTGATTCTTCAATCACGCCATCTAGTGGTAGGCTATGTTATTAAATTATAACAACCTCTACAACTGATAACATACTACTGAACAGACCGCTCAAGCAGGTATTGTGAGTCATCGTGAGGTAATAAAATATGTCAAATTAATATTTTGTGTTCAATTATTTACTTATGTGGATACCGCATAAGCTGGATACTTTTGCAATGGGGTCAGTGGGGTTTTGCATTAAAATCAGCTGACTGCCTAGCCATATAGCCTTCCCGCGCCACCCTTTTAATAACTCCTTTTTGTTAGTCAGTCATTGACTGTAAGGCAGATATTGTTTAACAAAAACATGTGACCACTACATATTTTTCTGTTTATTGTTTATAAAGTATTTTCTATGCTCACTGATATGACCTGTTTTGAGTAGCTATCGACAGCATTAGTAGGCCTAGCTAGCCTATATTAACAGATGTATTAACAACAGAGTGATATATATTACAAGTTTATCCTTAAAACAGACAAAGAAAAACTACCAACCTATCATGTTTTTAAAATGCCATAAAGCTCAAAGTAATAGTCATGTGTGTGACTGTCATTTAGGTTTTGATGTTGACCATACTAATGTCAGTTCGTGGTGCAGTATGCCTAAAGCCTGTGATGTGTATGGCTTCACCGATTGGTTCAAAGTGGGCAAATACTGTGTCAAATACTTCTACAGCCGTGCTAACTTCACTGAAGCGGAGGTAGGTAGCACTGTTGATGTTGTTGTTTTTATATATATATATATAAATTGTTATATTGTTACATCAAAAAAAATCTATTGTATTCATCTCCAAATTATTACCTGCCTCATAAAAAAAAATCAATGTTTTGTAGTCATTAAATGTTCTTGTTTCATACTCAGTTCAAGTGTAGGTCCAAAGCCCCTGGTGCACATCAGGTGTCAGTGCATAGTAAAGAGGATAATAATTACTTGCTCTGCCTTGTGAAAAAATGTAACCCAAGAAACCTGCGCTTCTGGCTCGGAGGCTTTGAATTCTTCAAGGTAAACAGACAGAAGTCTGAAGAGGTTCACAAATTGGGAGAGCAAAGAGAAATGATTGAGTTGTTATTGTCTGTTTTTCATTGACATGCATCTACTAGTTTCTCATTCTCACTACACAAACAAACACCCTCTGACTTTTCAGTTTTTCTTTGTCTTTTTTTTTAACTTCTTTCTCACTTTTTCAGTCTGGTAAATTTTTTTGGCTTGATGGTTCCTTCTGGAATTATCAAATTTGGACACGTGGTGAACCCAACCACATGTACACCAGTACGGAGGAATGCGTGGAGATGAACTGGAAAGGTAAGGATGGAAAGACAGAGGAATCCTATGATGGGTTATAGGATAATCACATTAAATTTTAACTTGATGTTTGGCTAAATTATAGTGATATTGATGCTGTGAGGACAATAGGATGTTTGGTAAAACACAATGATAGATGAAGTATTTCACTTTCCCTCACATTTTCAGAGGTTGGCAAGTGGAACGACGACTCTTGTAGTGTCAAGAAAAACTACATCTGCGCCTTCAAACGACAAGACATGCTGAAAGTAGACCAGGAGTAGATGGAGCAGTTTTATCCGAGTATCATCCCATAAAACGTTCTGAATAAAATGATTTTCTCTGCATCAAAAAAATAAAAAAAATTCTCAAAATGATAATAAAAAACTTTTGCAATCATAACAAGCACTTGATTTTATTCATTTAGTGTTTGTCTGATTAAGAACCACTAATTAAGAATACTTGAATACTTCAAAGTCATCACTTTTAGCCAGGTTTTAAATACTGCAGAATTTCATTAGGTTTCTCACATAATTCTCACATTAAGCACAAAACTGAATTCAGGAAGTAGTATAAAAGGGAAAGGGGTGGAAGGGAAAAAACAATAATTAATAGCTTGTTGATTTACAGTTCATGAGCGAAATCGAAAAGGAAGCAAAGGACGCACACACAAAATCTAAAATGACATGATATTTCACATAATAAATCACTTCACATTATAATATGGAAAAAGACTGATTTACTGTGCTTTACAGTTCATCAGCAGTTATGAATGAACAGGTGTATTATTAACTTCAATAACACAAAATTCCATTTTGCCTATATTAACATGATAAATCATCATATTTATGACATTTGTTATAAAAATAATTGTTAGGGTGCATAAAAAAAGGTCCTAGCAAACAGTAAAATAGGACGTGATCACCATTATCCACTGTAACATCTTAAATCGGTGTAATCCAAACTCTGTCATTTCAGTAGTTTTTCAGTAAAACACTTTTTCCACCAATAAATGTCCTTGAACTTCAATTTGAATTTTCCAGTCTTTACAGTCAAGGTATCCTTTAATCTGCTGAGAAAGTAGATAATCAGAAATAACATTAATACAATGATCACATTACTTGATTAAATAATGGAATTGTTTTAGTACAAAATGATCTTTCTCTATTTGTGCTTTGCTGTGGTTTTTATAGATTATTGTCTACTGTATGTGATTTTATTGACCTGACAACTGCAGATGATAGAGCAGTCATGGAGTGATTGGTCAGGTGTGATCTAGAAACAGTGGTGAATGAGGAGGAGACTTGGAAAAGGGGATGCTGTTAAATGGTAAAGATGCACGGACAGGGGATTCATTCAGGATGTTTTCGGGAATCTCGTAGAATTTGGCGTTTGACTTTTCTTCTTTTACTGAGAGAAAAAACGAAAGCAACAAATCTGTCAGAGGTTTGCACATGTTCATTTCTCTCATTTAGTACATTCACTCCACCCAACCCCCCCAGAGCGTTTTCTCACCTTTTTTGGGTGGTTTGTGGGGTCTCTTTTTGCTGAGACGAATTCGACTTTTGAGAGCAGAGTTGTCCAGCAATTCAAATGACTGAGAGAGAAAAAATCGTATTTGTCATTTATTCCACTTTATATCAAGTTACAGTTAAAATCAAGGTAAAATAATTAACAGTCTCTCACATATTAACATAACCTAGTAACTTTAACGACAAAAATACAGAAGTATTCCCCACCTTGACTGCTGAAAAGTCCATCGGCGGAGCATCCGATGACTTTCTTTTCATTAATGGTACATAATTTTTGGGTATAATATACATGTGCAAACAATCATAGATGTCATCTGATTTCTTTGACTTACAGTCTATCCCAGATGCCATTAGTTTTATTGGAGTTGTTAGCAGTGCCTTAGGAATAGCAAAAGTATTTGCATCCTGTCTTAAATGCAAGTCACTGTTTACTTTTGCAACATTGTCCCGTTGAACGTCACTAACATCATCTTGGCTGTTCTTTATGTCCTCTGATTGGTCCTGCTGCGGTGTCTGCTGTGGAATATTGAGCTGAGTATCTTTTTCTGTTTGGAGAACATCATTGGTCATTGGTTGATCACTAGTGTCTTTCTCTGCTGGACTGGTTTTGCTGGGCAGGTAATTGAGCCATTCTTTTCCTGTGAATATCTCCTCCATTAAGTTGATCGGTTCAAGATTGAGTTTGAAGTCCTTTAAGGTAAATGTTCTGCTCAGAAAGACAAGATATATTAGCAACTAAAGTTAACAAAGATTAATGCAACAAATATATTGTTCATTGCATGTTAGTTAATGCTTTAACATTAACAAATGGGACCTCATTGTAAAGTGTTACCATAGATTCAAACCTTTGTTGGGTTACACTTTATTTTGATAGTCCACTTTAGACATTCTGTTAACTAAGTAACTTTTCAACTACATGTCAACTAACTCACATTCATTTGCAAAACCATGTGAACTCTCATTAGTATTAGTAGACTTTTACATAAGGGTTAGGGTTAAGATTAGTAGAATAAGTTGACATGTACTTGCAAAGTATATAGTCAGTTACAAAGTATACAGTCAGCACATATTAAGCATACAGTCTACTCTAATGACCTCTAGTTGCCATGTAGGAACGACAATAGTACATATTTTGGATCTCCCTTAGGTCTCCCTAATCTGACCAATTTATTTCAGGTCTTGGAGTCTCTTCTAATGAGCTGATGAGTTGAATCAGGCGTGTTTGTTTAGGAAGAGTTTGAAAATGTGTAGAGTTGGGATGCGTCTCAATCAGCTCCCCAACCTCGTAGTTTGTGAATCAGTATATTGTGAACATGAATTCGGGCACTGGTAAGGACAGTAACTAAGGACCCTGGCTCACTACACATTGGGACACTGATAACTCTATTTCCGGTGACATGACAACGTCCTCATTGTACAACATCACTACTGGTATTTATGAACAACTGCAGAACTGATATCTATATGAAATTATTTTTTAATGTAAAGTATTATTATAAAATCTTTGCTTGTTACATATAAGTGCAAGTGCAGCATTTCAGCCATAAATAATTTATAAATGTTAGCTATTTTGTTCATTACCTGTATGTTTATGCTGAAATATAATTAACTAATGGTTCTTAAAAAGCATCTATCGCGTGCCATTATGTGTAGTGAGTTGGCTCACCCGTGTGATTAATGTTTTGTGCTTCAGAACTTCCGTTAAGCATCGATGCTCCCTGGTTTTCACTGTGCATATTGGGACTTTTAAGGGAGCGAACATTTAAGGGAGTGCACTGGAAGAAATTTGCTATTGAGACAGACAGCATTAAAATGGCAGACTCCCTGAACAGTTCCCTGATTATTACTGGACTATAGGGAGCTGATTGAGATGTGCACACACATTTGTTTATGTGGACTTAGTCATTCAGCAGTTTTTAAGGGGCAGCCGTAGCAGATCTATATTACAAGATAGGCATGTTTGTGTTTGATTTGTTCCATCACTTCACATAAAAGGAATGTCACAGAACTAGAAATAAGTTATAAATAGGTGGACTTCATAATGCTACAAATAAGGAAGTGCTTTAAAAAAAAAGAAAAGAAAAAAAGAGTTTCGATTGAAAAAAATAAAAGGAATGTGCATATAACATTTAAACAAGTGGGGTTCTCAACTCTGGCCCTTGAGGTCCACTTTCCTTCAGAGTTTATGCAGCATTCACTCCATGTCGTAATTACCTTAGTCTCAAGATGACAACATGCAACGTTATATTCTGGACTGGGAATTATGCATTTCTATGGCACCCCTATCAATGCCTACATTAATATGCAGGGGTCACGTGGTATAAGTAGGAGCTCTCAAACAATTCCCATCTTACAAGCAGTAGGCTAATTCTGAGCTCTATAAGGACATGAACACTTTTTACAAGTTGAAATCATGTAGGCCTAATTTAAGTTATTACGACATGGCCTGAACTGAACGCACCTTTAGTTAAACTATAATCAAAAACACCTGACCAAGCTAATCAAAGTTTTCAGGGTTACTAGAAAGATACAGGCAGGTGAGTTTGATCAAGGTGCTAAACTGAGTTGAGAACCACTGGTCTATATCATGTGTCAAACTCAGCTCCTGGAGGGCCACTGTCATGCAGAGTTTAGCTCCAAAATAGCTGGACGTTTCTAGTAATCCTAAAGTCCTTGATTACCTGGTTCAGGTGTGTTTAATAGGGTTCGAGCTCAACTCTGCAGGACAGTGGCCCGAACTGAGATTGAGACCCTTGCACTGAAAAAAGGTGTGTTGGATTTACACGATTTAATCATGTACATCGGTCCCACATGAATCATTTAAAGGGTTCACCCAAAAATGAAAATTCTGTCATTATTTTCCCTTATGTCGTTCCAAACCCGTAAGACTTTCGTTCATCTTTGGAACACAAATGAAGATCTTTTTGATTAAATCTGAGAGATTTCTGGCCCTCCGTTGACAGCTACACAACTGACAATTTAACACTTCAAAAAGTTCATAAAGAGATCGTAAAATAAATAAAATCCATATGAATTGAGGGGTTTAGTCCAAATTTTCAGAAAAGACTTTTACTTTATGATGAACAGATTGAATTTAGGCTTTTATTCGCATATAAACATTCATCAACTCACACATCAGATCTGGTAACGGAAGCTCAAGCATGTTCATTCTCATGTTACGCAACTCGTTTGAGAGACGCAAGAACCAATGAGGTTCATTCTCGCGTTAAGCAGTACGTTTGAGCTTCTGCGAGAACCAATGAGGTTCATTCTCATGTTACGCAGTACGTTTGAGCTTCTGCGAGAACCAATGAGGTTCATTCTCATGTTACGCAGTACGTTTGAGCTTCTGCGAGAACCAATGAGGTTCATTCTCGTGTTACCCAGCACGTTTGAGCTTCTGCAAGAACCAATGAGGTTCATTCTCGTGTTACGCAGCACGTTTGAGCTTCTGCAAGAACCAATGAGGTTCATTCTCATGGTACGCAGTACGTTTGAGCTTCTGCGAGAACCAATGAGGTTCATTCTCGTGTTACCCAGCACGTTTGAACTTATGCAAGAACCAATGAGGTTCATTCTCGTGTTACCCAGCACGTTTGAGCTTCTGCAAGAACCAATGAGGTTCATTCTCGTGTTACGCAGCACGTTTGAGCTTCTGCAAGAACCAATGAGGTTCATTCTCATGGTACGCAGTACGTTTGAGCTTCTGCGAGAACCAATGAGGTTCATTCTCGTGTTACCCAGCACGTTTGAACTTATGCAAGAACCAATGAGGTTCATTCTCATGTTACGCAGTACGTTTGAGCTTCTGCAAGAACAAATGAGGTTCATTC